AGCTAGGTAAATACCTGGAGGCTTCATACCTTGTATACAGATACCTTATGTTACGAAGTTTCCGTGTGTTATATGTTCGCTGTCCTTTACCTCATGTTCATTGTTTAGCGACTGCTTAAAAAAATCAAAGTGTGTTTGTGATGTAACCTCTCACTTATTATGAGTAATACGATAGTTAAATTTGGTATACGGGTTCCTTGCAACACTCTGCGTGTCCGCCAGATAATGTTCACCTGACCTTGACCTCATTTCATGGACCAGGGATCAAGGTTAAAGTTAGGTGATTAGGTCCGTGTCTTAATTGGATAGTAGGTCAACTATATATGGTTCATTGAAAGATTGTAAGCAATGATGTTGAAGAAAAAAATAACACATGTTACCATAAAATTTCCAGATATGAAACATATATTATGATATAATTGTCAATTTCCTGATGGATATGACAATTAATTTCCCATTTCCATCTAAATGAGAAAAGTGGTGTTTTCTGATGTGGATATGTCAAGAGGTGTTATACATTGCATGTATCTGTTATTAAAACAAATACGAAAAATGAAAACAACACTTTATAAATTTCATGCACCTAAAGCGCCTTTCTGTTTTTACCTATATCAGGAACGCTCAAAGCCTAATATTTTGAATCCAATTAAGGATGCATAACAGTTGAAGAGGGTCTCATTGGAGTCTAAGCATGACGCGGGATTGTCGATTCTCTTGTAAGCGTGACACGTGAAAGTCAAATTATTGTGCCGTGAAAACTGGAAATGAAGTCTTGCGGGACACGGGAAATTACAAAAAAATGAGAATTCTTTACGTACATAGTGTAAGCGGGATACGGGAATCAGACACAACAGTAAGCGGGATCCGGGATCAGAACCCCTAATGAGACCCCCGTTGAAGAGCTATATGACCAAAAGAAACCAAAAAATAATAGCCAAAACCATCTAAGATCAACTTTGACCTAGTTTCTTAATATTTTCTAAATTTTAATTTATACGGACAATTTTATAGAGGTTTTGTTACAAATCATGTCAGTATCGAAGTACTGACTACTGAGCTGATGATACTTGTAATACAGAGACATGCAATGATTATATACCGAAACTGGTAGTGAATGCGAGGTCTCCGGAAGGGTATAGAGTGAAACTGGGCGAGGTTCTAATAAGGCATTTATATCATTAGAAAAATATAGTTTATTCTTGGGTCACATGATCAATTAGTTGAGGTCCTGCATGGGATTCACATATCTATAATGACCATATGATTAAAAATTACAGTTGCGGATTCAGGGGGTATGGCGTAGAGGGCATACGCCCTCACCTTGTGATTAGAAACGCTATCATGGTTTAGCATAAAATCGTCCAAATGTGTGTCTTCCACTGGCGGATCCAGAAATTTCCATAAGTGGGGGCCCACTGACTGCCTAAGAGGGTGCCCGCTCCGGTCATGCTTCAGTGATTCCCTATATAATTAACCAACTTTTTCCTACAAAAGGGGGACCCGGGCCCCCTGCCCCCCCCCCCTAAATCCGCCTCTGTCTTCCCTTTTATGAAAGACAGTGTCTGCGGGGACGAGTAGTCAAATTGGCATTCGTAGTCTATATATGCGTCCCTGCATCCGGTTTTATAATATAATGTCATAAGAATGGGAATGAAACGTGAAATATACACGAGAATTATCGGTAATTTGGGGATTTTGTGAATTCAGTGAAGAGAATGGCAAATAATATTTTTAATTTGTATTTATTAGATAATAATACATTATAAACATTGCAAATTAGATGCACACTGAAGGAATAAAACTTACAGTCCCTGTAAAAGAAAACATAACTATATTATAAAATGTAAATGCACTTTAATAAAAATTTAATGAATTTGAAAAAGGGTATGTGAAAACTCGTGTATGAAAATATTTTCTTGGAAAAATGCAAAAAAAAAAACTTGACTAAGGAATGAAAGCGGCAAATCCGATTTAAAACTATAACTTAAAAAAAGATAACTTGTATTAGGCCTTTTTCCTGTCGAATTTGTTTGGAATTTTCTGCCTACAGGAAAAAACGAGTCTATTAAACTTTAATTCTTCTTTAATTCTTCTGTTTCAAGGTCTTCTTTTCTCTAAAGCCGCAATTGATTCAGAGTTTCTTTTATACAATTGTATGTATTTATTTGACTGGTATAAGTTTTGAACAAATTATTCCAATTAATTATAAGTTTTAAATGTCTTCCCCACATATGTATCACAATCGTCCATGTTAAGAATATTTATTAACTGAGAAAAACTGTTCACTTTCTATATAATTATTTATAAAACTTCTAACTTCTGAGTAGTAATCAATTTATTCACTAATAGAAGTGGGACACTTAAAAAGACGTATCGTATCTGTATTTGATACGTTGACGTATATGAACGTATGTAATAGTTATACACCGAGGGATAGGTGTGTCTGGATAAGAAACCCCGTCGGCCGGAGGCCGGAGGGGTTTCTTATCCAGACACGCCGTATCCCGAGGTGTATAACTAACTTACACCCCATTCTAAACCCTATATTTGTTAACATTGATTATTAAATGGAGAAAAAAAACGATAGCATATCTATTGACAATATCAAACCATGATTTATAAGAATATTTTTTTATTACATGAAACCCCACTAGTAACCTTTCTTAGGGTATCTTGTTCAAACTTTGACAAGTGAGTATATTTTACAAGTGTCAAAGTTGTTTTGCATATTCCCGTTAAATCCATGTGCTAATATGGATCAGCAGGTCAAGGTTGACTGTTTCGTGTATTCTTATTACAAACAAAAAAAACATCATGCTCCTGGTATACAGTTGTCAATATGGACGGGTAAAAGACGGACGACATTTTGTGACAAGCGTTGGATTTGGTAGAAGAGACTAAAGATAAAGGCAATATTATAACCCAAAGTACTTACCTGTATCAGTTTAATGAAGGTAATCATAACTGTATTTTATATTTTACGATTTTATCAAAAACAAAACCCCCCTCTCCTTCTTCTCGAGAAAAAACAAACATTCATATTCGAACATACTAAGGGATAGGTGTGTCTGCATTAGAAACCCGACTACCAGACACGCTCAACATACAATATTTAATATTGAGGAACTCCCTTTTTTTAGGGGGGGGGGGGGGGGGGCAATCAGGGGCTGATCCAGCCGGGGGTTCCCAACTCAAGAAAAAAGGGGGGTCCAACCATTCAAATGCTTTGATCTTTTAAATAAAAGTCGGGTCCAACCCGCGGAACGGCCACTGGGTAACCGGGGGGAAAGGGAGGGGGGGTGTTTGGCTGGGTCCGGGAGTTAGAATCCCCATTTTTGTTTTAAAGATCAATGCTTTAGAATAGAGACATATGACTGTGATAAAAAAAATTCAAGCAAAATAGTATTTAAAGGATTATTTTTGTATTCCATATAGATGCTTATTGGAATTTCCTAAAATGTGTTTTTTTTTTAATATCATGAAACAATTTGTGGTGAAAACTATTAGTAATTTCTTATATTCATGCTATTTAAAAAATATTCAATTTCTATTGTTACGAATAACAATGGACTTTGTTTGCGGGATGTAGAAGCAGGGGTTTCCAGAAACCCCGCTCGTCACACCCTGTGGTCAAAATCCATTGTTATTCGTAACAATAGATCTATTCAATTTACACTTGTTTCAGAAATAGAAACTATGAAGTATAACAATAGAACTGGGGTGTAACTTTTGGTTATTGTTAAAATACATGTAGCAATCGAGAATAGGGAAAAGAGTTGGAAAAAAAAAGCGAAAGGTTGATGACTATTTTTGGTCTCTATTAATTTCAATACCTGAATTGTTTTTTAATAATTGTTTAATAGATGTATTTAAAATGTGTTTATATACTTGCTTCGTGTATGTTAAAATCATGACTTCTTTTATCTATTGTTACATTTGTTGCCCTAAAGGTGATGTTTCTACGATATATATTTACAGAAACTAATAATACAATTATGAAAGCATGGACGACAGCAGAAGCTAACATCTACACACATTTAACATTCACGTGTTTTGCGTGTCAATCTATATACTTGTATATGTTTTAGGACTCGATATTTAAATCATTAGAACTACCCAGGCGTGAAGTTGAATTATATTTAACAATTAAAGTTTACGTTGACAATATCTATACGCGTACTTTAAATTTGCTAATAAATGAATCATTCAACATCAGCAGAGTCGGATTGGTGACTGCTACCAATTTTAATACATTTAGCAGGCAATACTTTTTTTTCAAATAGTAAAAATGAAAGAGAACAAAAATTTTCATCACCCTTTCCCTATTTGTTCCCTCTCTTATCCTTGTTCTCGAAATTATCATCACAGTTTTTGACTCAATCATTAACTATATCGCATTAGTATCATTTAAATTCATGCCTGAAAAGTAATGATCGATGGTTTAAATATCGAGTGTTTAGATATAAACGAGTAAACATAAATTGAAAACTATCGTGTTAAAAAGAGAGTGTATGAATGACCGAAAGACATCTAACATAACAAAACAAAATCCACATAAACATGTACTATTTAAACACGTAAATAATCAATTTTGATCAATAACCCATAGATACGTTCAGATACGTCAACGTATCAGATACGGATACGATACGTCTTTAAATGTCCCACTTCTATTTGCGATGATTACGGTATATTTCACGTTTCATTCCCGATCCGATGGCATTTTGGATGCGGGGACGCGTAGCCTGCGAATGCCAATTTGACTACTCGTCTCCGCATGCGGGGTCGCGCAGACAGCCTTTATGAAATGTTGCCCCCCTTTTAAAACTCATGGATCTGCTTCTGTATCATAGCAAATTTGGAACTTTTTAATCTTAAGTTATTAGGAGAAAAAATGAATTTCTGATCACATAATTACATACATGAATGACAACTATACAGGTTTATATGATAAAAGTACCCGACTTTAAAATGTATTGATTTTTCTGTCTTATTTTCAGTCCAAACATATGTAAAATAAAGGAAGTATATGGGACTGGAGAGAGATTCTACCGAGGATTTACAGACAAGAGACCAAAGAGAATATGTGATCGGCCCACGTAGGTATTGTTCTTTTTCTGTTTTTAATCACAAAATCTGTTATCCCACACTGGAATTTAAAGGTTTCCATGAGGTGAGATCATGTAAATACCTTGGACTTTTACCTTGCAGTTAACCCGAATAATTCAGTCCCTCCCCGTGATCGACTCTCCCACTCGCGAGGAATGTAGCCATCGTAGAGCAATGGAATATAACGACTGAATTTTTAGGGTTACCTTGTAGTAAACACATTAATTTGTTGGTCCTCAGTTAAGGGACATAACTCTTAAAAATCACTTCTACGTTTGTGTCAACCCTTTTCATTAATTCATTTTCAGCTTCTAAGTAACACAGATCATGTTTACTCTGTTTCACAAAATGCTTAATAAAACAGTGATGGAACTGGCTTTAACAAACACATTTCTGATTTAAACAGTTATCTCCCTATTTATTTGTATATTAATCTAGATCAAATTGTATATTAAACTATAATATTACAAAAAATCACAGGAATTTTTGTCAACTGTTTGCCTTATTCAATTCAATTCAATTCAATTCGGCAATATTTATTGGAAAGAGCACAATAGAGGCGTGATCCAAATACAGACAATAATATATTTAAACAACATATAACTGAAATATAGATCCATGTAACATCAAGTCATAAGCAAATTCTATGGATACCATATAGAGGGAAAAAGTTCCTGCTGCAACCTAATTATTGAATTTTTATGTTATAATGAAAATAATATTGTGAAATTCATTGATTTAGGAAAAAACCTTCGCACATCTGACCCAACATAATTCTGACCTGAATTATAATTATAAATTTAATCGATTTATCCAGCATTAAAATTTGTAAAGCCTTGATTTAAGAATCATGTATTAATTCTTATATTATGTTTGTGTGATATATTACAGATTTATAAGATATACCTGTTGTTCTGGGTACAGTAGAGAGGAAACAGGCAAAGGATGTCCTATAAGTAAGTTAGATAATGTTGGGTTGTAGGAAGAAAGCAATTTTTGAGGGTGTGGATGGGGGTTTACAGAATAGAAAACAATGGGCAAAAAATATACAGAATAGAGAAAAATGGACCCAAACAATAAAGAATAGAGAATAATGAGGTGCTAAAATATAAAGAATTCAAAGAATAATGGGCAAAAAGTATAAAGAATAGAGAAAAATGGCCTAAAAATTAAAGAATACAGAAATGAAGGAACCCCTATCCAGGCCCTTATTTTTACATCCACCGTGCATTTACTGATCCTGTTTGCAGATAGTTTGAAATTTTACAACACTCATTGTACAAGCAAATTCTTCGTCAAACTTTTCATGGATCCTATTGAAGGAAATGATTAGTTACGCTCCAGTATACATTCTACCTCAATCAATTGCATGCAGCGATGCAGGTCCAGACCTGGTATTGGTCTTGTTTAAAAACTCATAAATGTTTGGAGTCAATGAAAAGAATTTCTTAAGATTTTTACGTAAATAAAAATGTTACCATAAAATAAAGCCTTCATCTAAATAAAAAGTCTAACAAATAAATTCAATTATGCATCAAATTTGCTAATAGTAATATTAAAACTAAGACAGATCATTTGCAGCTATTTGCAATCAATATTTAGTTTAGACCCTGATCTTCATTAAAAGGTGGAGTGTATAAATGTGCATTTCTTGATAATAAGAGAAAAGGTTTATCCATGCCTTAAGTCAGGCGCCTTTCATTAGTTGTTTAGAAGTTATATCTGAGTATTTTTGTCCTTTAAAGATGTTGGCCTTTTTAAAAGTAATTATTTATCAACAGCTTCACAGCCAAGACATTTGTATTTGATGATCGACTATTATATATATTGACCTTTAGATGTTTGTAGCTTTTGTGTTGTTGGGTTGCTGTCACAAAGAAGATAATCTTACATTAGTATCAGTTAAAAGCTCAAAACAGCTTATGTAATATCCTTGTTTGTATGAGGGTGTGGATGGGGTTTACAAAATAAAGAATTATGGGCAAAATGTGCAGAATAAAGGACTAAAAATATAAAGAATATAGAAAAATCAGCCAAAAAAATAAAGAATAGAGAATAATGGGGTGATAAAATATAAAGAATAGAGAATAATAGGCCAAAATATAAAGAATAGAGAATAACAGGCAATATTTATAAGGAATCAAGAAAAATGGCATAAAAATTAAAGAATACAGAAACAAAGGACCCCATCCACACCCTCTTATATACTATTTATTTACAATTCCTTTTAACCATATGAAGGCTAGGCATTGAAATAAAAGATGTTGTCTAGAGATTTTCTACCTATCTGCTTATGAAATCAAGATTTGCACATTGTGTCTCTTTCTGTAACAGCTGGTTCAATGGAGAAGATATGATACAGATATATACCACACACGCCTTAACATTTAAATTCAAATAAAATCAAGAAGGGTTTCACACTTCATTTCCAATTTACAGATAAAAAAGAATACTTATTTTTTTAATTAGAGATATAAGTTTGTTTTATCTGATAATTAAAGATTTATGTGAGATAGGCTTGATTTTTTATGATGATTGGAGGCTCATTCTTTTACACAGATGTCAAAATAATTCTTTCAACAGGGATACACATCAGAAATTAGTATTCACTGGAAAGATTAAAGAAATATATAAGTTATAACCATGAAGCAATTGTATCAGGATCAGACATCATTTCATTTTGATTTCTTCTTTTTTTTTTGCTATTTATTTTGTTATAAAAGTTTGCTTGTTATTGAACTCTGAAAACAAATATGGAAAATAAATTAAAGAATTTCTGGACTCACATCAAACTTTTGTTTAACAAATAGGGCAGGGGAAGGTTGATAGTGGAGAAATTCAAATTCAAGATTTTGCCATTTTTTTTGTGAAAATTTCTATCAAAATAAAGGAAATAGCCAAAAATCTAAATAATTTTGTTTTCAACTGTGGAAATACTCACAAGGAGGTCATGCATTAGTGAATCTAGGATTTTTTTTAATGTGGCCTAAGTGGTTATTTAAAAACTTTTCTTCAAATGCCAGCCATGAATATAAAGACAAACATTTATCATAATCACATAGATCTATATAAATTTAGAAATTTAAATGCTGCAAGGCTAAACATGTGACCTAAGTGTTTAAGTTGCATTATCTAAAGCTCTCAAAATGATTTTAATGATGCATAATTTCAATGACTGACAGATTGATAACAATTTCATTGACATAAATGCATCACTTGAGATATAAATTTTGGAATGATTTGAATGATGCACTTATATTAATTATCAAATCAAATAAACTAAAAATAACTTCTAAGGACAGACAATGTTTTCCAACTTTATTCAACAATACAGGGACAAGAACATATTTGGGGAAAACTCAGTATCTTATTTTTTCTCTCCTAATTTTTAATAGAAACACTATTGTTTCACTTGTTTGACTAAATTTTTTGAAAACATTTACTTTCAACATATTCTTGAAATTTAGTTAGACAATTTATTTTGAAAAGCCATGCCCCCTCCTCCCTCCTGTGCTGGAAGTGGCTTTAAACACCAGTCAATCAATAGGTGCAAAAGGTTTACCTTTGTAAGACAGTGTAGGAAGAATGTTTCTTGCACAGATTAAGTCAATGACATCATATTTTTATGTTTTCAGCAAAACCGTTGACAAACATAGTGGAAACAGCAGGTGACAAGCTTTTCCTGTCAAAGTTTGTAGCACTATTAACTAATACAGAACTAGAAGAGAGCTTGAAGTTTGACGGAGCCTTTACAGCTTTTATTCCTGTTGATGAAGGTTTTCTTAACATTTCATACGATGATCGGTAAATATAATGAATTTTATCATTTTAGTTGGGTTTTTTCCATTTCATATAAAAAGAATTACGAATTTGAACCCTAGCTGCTTCTTAGGGAGCTACTATTTGATTTTATGGGGGAGGGGTGGGGGGGGGGGGGTGGGCTATGATGAAAAATTTTGTCCTGCATTTTTTTTTAGTTGTAATCTCTGTCCTGCCTTTTTATTTTTCACTCTATTCGGTCCTGCCTTTTTTTTTATTAGTTTATCCTGACTTTTTTTACATAAATTGTCATCCTGCTTTTTTTTTTGCCAAGTTGCTCATCGATCTGCCTTTTTTTTTTAAACTCAAAACTCCTGTCCTGCCTTTTTTTTCCAAATTTCATCCTAGCCCCCCCCCACCATGAAAATCAAATGGTAGCTCCCTTAACTACACTGACATGATAACAGATTTGTTTGTGCTGGCTAACATGATTTGCAGGAAAACTGTTATTTACAGATCCATGTCCTCACATATTATTATTATTACAAAGATACAAACAATCAATGCTCTTATTTCTTAATATCTCATACGTATACCAAACAGACAAACGGCATTTACCGTTAGAACTGATTAGAAGCACACTGCAAATAAAAAAGAGAAAAAAAAAACAGTTCGAGTATTGAATTATTTCCCTTTGTTTACTGCACCAATGTGAAGACATGCATTAAACTTCATTTCTCTAATTTTTGTGCTATTTTCACATTTCTTTGGCGGTGTGAGAAAAATATTTCTCCTTGCTAAAGTGAAATATCTGCTCTCAGCAAATGATTGGTCGAAATTTAATTATAACGTTAAATTTTCTCGATTTCTTCTGAATTTCCTATTGTGACGTCATGAAAAAACCTCATAAAAAAAGGCAACCATGCCTCAATAACGTCACATATAAAGAACACAACTTTCTGAACATCTTTGAAAAGGAAGGATAAAAATCATAAGAGAAACAGATTCCACCACTATAACTCATGTATTACAATATTTCTCCACTCTCAACAGTTAAATTTTAATTATTTAAAAAACTTGGCAAGCCTCGCACTTTAAATATTAAAATTTAACTGTCTCGAGTGGTGAAATATCGTTACACACTTGTTGCAGTGATTGAATCTATATATTTTTTTTCTAATGGAGACATCTCCTTTCGTTTTTTCCTTTTTCTTTAAATTATCATGTAGAGTCGTCAACTACCGCTTGGGGGGGAGTAAGTGGAGATACTACACTTGCTTAGAATCCTGACCTTAATCTGAGTTGCAGTTATGTTAATATGCCAATATGAAACAATTGGATAAGCTTTTGTTGACAAAAATGTTTAGGAAGGTAATATGTACAAAGGGAACACATAGCCAGCTTTATTTCGAGTTAAATTGCTGCTAAATATCAAATCAGTATCATTATAACATTTAGTGGTCAATTTTTATTATAAAAATAAGGAGATGAGGTATGATTGCCAATGAGATATAATCCACCAAAGTTCAAATAAAGTGGATGTAAGCAATTATAGGCACCGTACAGCCTTCAACATTGAGAAAAACCCATACCGTATAGTCGGTTATAGAAGGCCCCGACATGAAAAATATGAAACAGTTCAATTGAGAAAACTAACCGCCTAATTTATAACAAAACAATTTATGAAAAACAAATATGACAGACATAAACCAACGACAACCACTGAACTACAGGCTCCTGACTTGGGACAGGCACATAAAGAATGTGGCGGGGTAAAATATGTCTGTGAGCGCTCAACCCAAATATTGCATATTTTGGAAATTAATTTTTTTAATTGATATGCTTTTTTCATGTGTATACGTGTTAATCTACTTTCAGAGAGAGGCTACATCCATGGACTTTCAATGCCCCATCATTAGTTCATTATCATGTGGTCAAAGGTCGTCACAGTTATTCCAAGTTTAGAAAGAATCAAGAGATACCAACATTATATTATGGAACCAAAGATGTCAGAATTAATAAATATGCTTATGGGGTATAAAATTTATATTGATTACCATGAGGCCTAAATTAATATTTTGTTTGTTTCCCCAATCCCGACCCTGCCAAGCAGGTGTGGGTAGGTAGGTAGGGAAATAATTTTATTTTTCCAAGAAGCTTGAACATTTTCTGATGATCTGAAAGCCTGAAAATCGGCAATGAATAAAATAATATTTGACTAAGTTTTGACAATAAAATTTTATGAGTAGGACCATTTTTGCAGGGTCGGTCGGGATTGGGGAAACAAACAATATTTTATTTTAGGCCTGATAGAGTTCATTAATGTTGTAAATAGTAACTTTGCTTGCACAGAACTTTTAGCAAGGAAGTTTTTATCAACTATTTATTTTACTTTATAGCAAATTGAAAGGTTTGTTAATCAGTGATAAAACCTTCTGACGATTCAGATTGCAATTATATTTAAGCATGATTTATTAGAAAATTTGTACATGCAGACTACTCTTATCAAAATAAATCAAAATATTTGGTAAAGATTAAAAAAACATCAATCCAAAAATATAATAGAATAAACACAGAAAAGATGTTAGACATTAATGAATGATCTGTAACAAATGACAATTTTTTATATTATAAAATCATAGAATGAAAGTTTTATATATGGCAATATCTAGTGAGTTATTTCCCTTTGGTGTCATATTATGACAACTTTTATTGAGTTATGTCCCCTTAGTATCAAAGTATAACAATTTTTTATGAGCTTTTTCCCTTTAATATCATAATATGACAACATAATGAGTTGTGTCCCCTTACACTACCAAATTTAGAGAGTTATTTCCTCTTGGAGTTACAATATGGACATTTTTCGTGAATTAAATCCCGATATTTGTTAATTTACAGCGAATTCAATACAATTTAATAACCAGCACAAGAAATGAAAATGGATTTTGTCTTCAGAAATACCGTCACTTTTAATTGATAAAAAAAAAAAATCGTCTTGAATATACATGAAATATTTGCCACTGGACATTAAGCAACCAACAATCAATCAATTAATTGATAAATCTGATTAAACTTTGCAGGTTGTTACAGTAAACTGTGCCAGGATAATAATGCCTGACCAGCCTGCATCTAATGGTATCATACATGTAATTGATAGGGTTAGTATTAAAATTTACAAGAAAAAAACACATTTTTGTAAGATTTCAGTGATGGCAGTGTGAGTGATATTAATAGGTTTTATAAACAGTGAGAATTGAATATCACTTGATATCAACTCGAGTTATTTAATTTCAATATAGTAATAAACGATCTTTGCGGAGTTCATTATTACTATTTAGATTAAATAACTAGAGTTGATATCATTAGCCATTATCCAATTCTCACAAGTTGTTAAACCTATTTCTCTTATGGTCTACATTATCTTTGTCTTAAATAGAAAAGTCAGCGACTAGTTGATATAGTCTTTGCACATACCAGTATGAGTCATCATATGTCAAAGTTTTATAATATGGCAATATCTAGTGAGTTATTTCCCTTTAGTGTCATAATATGACAACTTTTATTGAGTTAGGTCCCCTTAATATCAAAGTATAACAATTTTGTATGAGCTTTGTCCCCTTAATATCATAATATGACAACATAATGAGTTGTGTGCTTATACACTACCATTAATGTAAACATCTCGCCCCATATGGAATTTACTGAACCCATATATATCGTATTAGGTCACTAGCGCACTGTGTAACGAATTTATCTTACCGACTATCTTAAATAGAAAAGTCAGCGACTAGTTGATATAGTCTTTGCACATACCAGTATGACATCATATGTCTTGTTTGGGGTCAAACTTTAACATCAGACATTTTGAAACTTTTTGTACACTTCAGAATGTTATAAAATTTGACAAAAATAAGATTTTCAGGTGAAAAGTGTGAGTGCTTTGTATCTTTTTGAATAAATCACATATCTCAATGGCCATGGAGGAAATGTACATCACTTTGACCTTTGAAAGGTTTCAATGACCTAACAATTGACAATGGAAACATCACAATATCGTTTCATTATGCTGGATTAGCCAATCAAATAAAGGCATTTTTCATATCACTTTTTTGTATCACATACACTCCATACAATGGGATACAAGAATTTCTCTTTAAGCGAGAGAAAGCATATTTTGAAGAATGGCCATTTGTGATGTTCCTGATATTCTATAAAACAAGTTATAAGTGATATATTTGTAAAAAGTGACCAATTTATATATAATTCTATACATGTATTAGCAACAGCTTGCCTCATAAAGATATTTGACTTAAACATCAAGATCTTTGTAATTGTATAAGACAAAAAGAGACGCGAAAGATACCTTAAAGGGACATTCAAACTCATAAGTCGAAAATAAACTGACAACGCCATGGCTAAAGAAGAAAAAAGATCAACAGACAAACAATATTAGTACACAAAACACAACAGAAAAAATTAAATTATCTTAACAAAATACATATCAAGTAATAGAAAGGTCTCAAAATGAGACAACTTTTCATTAAATGCAAAAATCTAGAAGGGTCTAAAACAAATATGTATGACAAGATTAACTAATACAAATAATTATAGATTGAGTAGTTGAAGAATTCAAATATAGAAAAGTATTCAACGAGTGATGGAACAATTAACACATTTATTAGAAATTCACAAATGTGTGTAGCATGAGCTGACAAGTTGAATATTTTTCGATATTTGAATTCTTCGAGTAGTTATTCGTGTTATTACATTGAGAATGGGCTTCAAATAAAGTAAGAAATACAAGGAACTAATTAGTACAATTTGTTTTGATGCAACTTCATCACCAGTGTCTTGACAACACCAATTGTTGTATGCTGTCAGAGGTGTGAAATTATCAGATATATTTAACATGTGAAATTATCCGTCTTTATCTAACTGGGAAATCAAGGTTTTCATATTTTAACAGATGTTATAATAATGTATATACATACAGGCATCTGCTTGAAATTATTTTATAGATATATGATACACTTTGTTTTTTTAATTCCAGGGGCTAAAAAGTGGCCTTATCATGCCCACTTGACATTATTAATGGAAATACAATCTGTCATTTATTTTCAGATGATAAAGCCATTGGACTCTATAGGCGACTTGGCAGAAATATTATTAAAACATGACAGATTTACCAAGTTCTCCCAACTGTTGTACAAAGCTAACTTAGTCAAAATGTTACAAGGAGACAGACATTTCACCATCTTTGCACCAAATGATGCAGCTTTTGATAGATTGCCTAAAATTATCAAAGAAAAGATTTTAACAGAGAGAAAAGTAGCTGAAGGTATTCATAGAAATTAGAAAAAAAGGAGATTTGTACAAATGTTAATTAGACAGTATTACCTGTGACACTACACAATAAAATTGAAATGTTAAAATAATAGATAAGTGACTGAACAAATAGACAGCTTATTGAAATAAGGTCGTAGTTTTCACCAGGCCTTGCAGTCATAAATAATTGCAGTACGATTACCTTACCGGTACTCAGACTCAGAATCCAACCAATCAGAATACTGAATTTACTGTTTCAAGTACTCGTTTTATGACCGTAGGCCTTTGGCTTAATAAGTATTGATCACAAGTCATTTGTATTTCAGATGAAACATTATCTATCAATTTTTTTTTCTTTCTTAAAAACATTTTAAAAAAGAATACAGGTAACGCCAAAATTTTTAAGAAAATTAAAAGAAGATTTGATCATAGAGAAAAGTATTTGAAGATATAAATGATTCCAGCCCTTTATCATCCAATCAGGAGCCACACAAGATTTTATTCTGATTACCATCTTTTTGTAAAGAAGTTGTGGGTAAATCAGGGTAAAATGTAAACAAAATATCACGCTCTTGTAACCTTAAGACCTTAGTAGAGAAGTTAGTCTGAAAGTATAACAATGACATGTTTTTTTTTTTTTTATAAATTCACTTGTATTTGTACAATTTATGCAGTAAAATATAAAAAGTAAATACTAAAAATATGTTAAAGGTTGACCTTCCAATCTCCATGTACGAGATTGAGTCCAATTAGAATATACATCATAAATATGTACAGTACAGCAGGTGCAGCATAAAATATATCGACAACTTTAGAATTTATGTACAATTCCTTTGTCACAATAGACCTTAATATTGGTTTTTTTTTTTTTATTTTTATTTTTTTATCCAACATATATAATAATTTTACAACAGTACAGTTATCAAATAGCAAGTTCATATATGACATTTTTTTAATGAATAGGTATGATTGCCAATGAGACAACTCTCCACCAGAGACTGATTGATGTAAAAGTAAGCAACTATAATTCACTGTGGTCCCTGTACAGCCTTCAACAATGAGCAAAACCCATACTGCATAGCAAGCTATAAGAAGTCTCGAAATGACAAGTGTAAAAACAATTCAAATGTGAAACCTAACAGCCTAATTTATGTACAAAACATTAAATGAAAAACAAATATGATTTACAGAAACAAACAACAACCACTGAATTACAGGCTCCTGACTCCAGACAAGCACATACAGAATGTGACAGGATTAAATATGTTTGCTGGTTTATGTCTATTTGTACACAATTTCAAAATGAGAATCTACTATTGAGGTTTCTTTTTTTTTGTTCTTTGCAGCTATAGCTAAATACCATATTGTAAAAGGTGTCCACTGTGGAGCAAGTACGATAATGACATGGGGATTGAATACGTTACATAGTGGATCACTTACTTTCCGCTGTAAATACAATGGAAATTACGTCAACGAGGCCAAGCTTCTGACAGAGGATATAATGGCGGGTAATGGAGTAGTCCATGTTATTGATAAAGTTTTATTACCAGATTCAGGTACATTAGAATTATTTTTCTCATTTTTACAATTTTTTTTAAAAATCTGTACATTAAGTAGTTGTTAGCAATATTGTACACATAATTTGGCATATTTTGTATTTGTTTATCATATATAACAATTGTCAGATAGAAAAAAAAACAATTTGGATGTTCATAGCAAGATGTCATTTTTCAAACATAAACATACCTTTAGTTCCGGTACAAATATACAGATAGTCTAAAGTATGGTATTTTTTACTTATATGAATAACTGATGAATTCAATCGACGTTTTAAAACATCCCTACATTTCACATTGTCACAGTATAAGGTCTTGGCACACAGTTATTGTCCTTTGATTTTGGTCGTTTACGAATATAGTCAGTAGTGAGGACAGTGTATAACTTGCAAATTTTTTCACACACCTTCCAAATTTATTTCTTTAAATTTTATGCATGAAATTGTAAGGGGATGAAATTGCATGTAAAAAAAGGTGGGTCATGAATTTTCTGGTAAATTAGTGATTTGGTCTAGTTGTAAAATTGTGCATATTTTGTGTTAGAGCTCAGTACATGTATACCATAGTTTGTCCCAAAAGTTGTACACTACACTGTTAAAATCTTTTTGAGAAAATGCAAGTGAGATTTTTCTTATTTGCATTTATTGTTCACTAAGAAATGCACTACAAAATAACTGTGTTCTCTGGTCAGTAATTCATAAAATTGATTCTTAAAAAATTATGGATTATCTCCCTTGTATTTCACAAATTTTGAAATCATTTATCTCCCTTACATAAAATTGAGAGAAATTATATTTTATTTTAATTCGTCAATATCAAGAGACCTAAGGGAGAGAGTGATGTGATAGGAATCAGTTATGAATTGAATTAGGAATATATCCGTTATAACTTTTCATGTTAAAATGTTTGAGGCCAAAATTGATCCCTTCTAGACATTAAAATATTGGCTTGGGTAAACAAAATTTTGCTAATAAAATGTATCCAATTCAGAAAAATATTTGATAAATTGATTAATTGTTAGTAAATTTGCTCAATATTTCAGAAAAATTCTTATGGAAATGGTGGAGGTAATTTTTTTTTACAATCAATTTGCAGCTGACATGGATAGATGAAAATAACTTTTTTTGATTTAGTCTCCTCAAAAATCATTCCAATCATTAAGGTTTTTGTACCCTCCCCCTCAACCAAATCTTCCCTGGTTAACTAAATGATATTGATGATGTTTTTTAGTAAAGGGGGATAACTTATATATTTTGTTAAGATTTTAGAATATACAGGGGAGATAATCCATTACTTTTAATGTTATTAATAATGTTATGGACAGGAGCAAATTGAATTTCTGTCTCTTTAGAAATGAATTCAAAGTCCTACAGTACTATTTTAACTCTGAATGGGAAAAGGATGAGCTATGATTAAAGTTTAAGAAAATTTTGAGAAATGACTGCTTTAATTAATAGTTAAAAATTACAAAATATGAAATAAGATGTTTGGAGTTCTTTTAAGCATTCAAAATTTGTTTTAATCCTTGAATTAAGTGCTGAAAATTTTTAACATCTTGTTGTCTACATTTCATTCAGGGTCTTGGATCCTTTTCCAGTAGAACAAAGAAGCATTAAAATATAAGATATACAAGTAAATAAATCATTTTTTTTTATTGTAGTAAAAAATATGCTGGAGATTGCAGAAATATATGATACAAAGATATTTGTAGAATTAGCAAGAAATGCTGGATTGATAGACAAAATACAGACGAAAAAAGATGTATCTATATTTATGCCTAATGATGCTGCCTTTGAAGGTAAGGGCTATTTTAGAAATAATGTAGGGTTGTTTTGAAGTTTTGCAATTTTTCCTTCTGTTAATAAATTCAGAAATTATAAAGAAACTAAGGTTGCATCTCCCTCAGGCAAAGTTGACCTTAGCTGGATTTGGCTATTACTTTTAGGTCACTTGATCATACAGCTCTTAACAAGTGTGGTTTATACAATTACTGTTTTTTAATAAGGTAAATATGTGGTTTTATTGACTTTTGAAAAACTGATATTCACTGAGGCCAATGGCCGAAGTGAATATCAGTTTTTCAAAAGTCAATTAAACCACATATTTACCAAAACAAAAGACAGTAATTGTTTTATTCCATATTCCGATAGAGTACCGAGATAAATGTATGTAATGACAAAACCAATTGTACATCAAACGATTTTAACGTAATTATACATGTAAAAGCATGCGACGTTTTGCGCGGGGAATATACTTTTTCCGCAGGTGAACATGCTTATTTATTCAAAATCCAATTCGTATAGAAAAACCTACTAAAGTTCTATCAATATGGAATAACAGTATTTATTCATCTGGCTCTTTAAATTATTGACTTTGAGCGTTCCTGATGAAGGTAAATCTAGAAAATTGCTTAAGACATAAAATTGATAAAGTGGTTTTTTTTATCATTTGTAAGGGCTATTTAAGAAAAAATGTAAGGTTGTTTTGAAGACACTAATATCCAAATATCCTCTCAGATAATTTTTTTAATGGATTTGGTGCAAAATTAATTTTGGATTTTGTGAATTTTGAAATATTTCAAATAAGTATTTTACATTGCTTTGTTGTGAATAAAGTATAATTATCCAGGTGTCTATGCAATCAGTAAAGCTCTCTATTTCCACAAGTTTAGAATAGTGGGTCTCATTGGGGTCTAAGCGTGATGCTGGATTGGTCAATTTTTTGTAAGCGAGACATGTGAAAGTCAAATTATTTGGCATGAAAAAAGGTAACAAAGTCGGACGGGACACGTGAAATTACAAGCGCTATTATTGCAATTATTAAGCTGGATACAGGATTCTGACAAAACAATAAGCGGGGTCGGGGATCAGACCCCATCCAATGTGACCCCCAGCATACATCTAACAGATTATCAAGATCTGCCATTAACACCACATTTTCAAAATGACAAAATACATTTAAATATGTCAAAAGACAATCACTAACAAGGTTTCTGGACATCTTACAAGCAACACCAAGGAGTGGAATTTGTAAAAGTGAAAATTCACTTGTTTTCCAATTCTGATCAAACTGTCATATTTGTAGTGGTTATGTTATCATTTTCACAATAAAATATTATTTGCACAAAAAAAAACGACAACATGAAGACATTAACCCCTGAACTTAATTGATCTCTCAGAACAATATTCAATTAATTACCTCACAATAAAAATCTTTAAGCTATATTTATATGGAATTATTAATACATGTATTTACAAAGATATTATGAGATTTATTAAAATACCATCCATCATTGCCTGACAACTGTTTTATATCCTTTTTTCCAGCCTTACCACCAGGATATATGGCATCATTACGAGAACAGCCAGGGATAGTTGATCAGATGATAGATTATCATACTGTTCTTGGTAGATTCACAACAGATAAATTAAGAGGGAACCAGTTACTAGACACTGAACTAAAACCTACAAAACTTAAAGTCAGTGTATTTATAAATGTAAGTTAGTTACTAGGTGAACGTCTTTTTTCAAATGTGGATTTACATCTATATAGTACAATGATGAGAGGTGGTGTGAATACGCAATGAAGACCAAAGAGCATTGACGTAAGTGACTTCTGAAAGGTCAACAGTAAGCAAATCCCAATCCTGATAGTAAGCTGTAAAAGGTCTTGAAATTACAAGATAGAATTGACTGATTGTGATTGCTTAACCTCCAATGGCAATTAGACAAAATGTGAGAAAATTCAAATGAGAAAACCAACAGTCTAGTCTGGTTTATATGATAACACAATAAACAAAAAAACAAATTAAGGCAGTCAGCAAACTTTTTTGGATAAACATTAGATAATTTACCTGGGTTTTAATTAGAATACTGTAAATTCAGAAATTATTGTGTGCATTTTTTATTGCGATTTTGAAGAGAAGACAAAGATGCGAGATTTATTTTTGCAATTTCAGGAAAATCTGCATACACTTATATGTATCAGAATGCGAGTTCTTATTATTGCTATAATCACCCAGTTGCATTATTTACAATAATAAAAACTTCTCAATAATTTCTGAATTTACAGTAGTTGTTCAGGTGCCTGCATATGTTTTGTTTTTATTTTCAATTGTTGTTTGTATTACATTTTTGTTTAGGGGACAGCTGAAGCCCGCCTCCGGGTGCGGGTTTTTCTTGCTGTGTTGAAGACCCATAGGTTGTTGTCTCTTTGACACATTCCCCATTTCCATTCTCTATTTAATTCTGTAAACTCAGAAATTATTGTGACACTTTTATTATTGAGAAAATTACAATGGGATATGTTTCGCAAAAATAAAAACTTGCAAAATTTCGAGAGCAGTTTTTGTATGGAAGTAATAGATCTTGCATTTGTGTCCAATGTTCATGTGAACAATCGCAATAACTGCACGGCAGCATTTCTGAAATAACAGTATTAATTAGGTCTGTCCCATAATGAGATAAAAGTTTCTTGAAATCTTCATTTTCAGGGTTTAACAATAGATGATGCCCATTTAATAACACCAGATATAGAGAGCAGTAATGGAGTTCTTCATGTCATAGACAAAGTTCTAGTTCCTCCTGGTTTAAATATGCTAGAGCTTCTTAATGTGGACCAGGAACTTAGGTAAGGTTAGTTAGAGCTGTTATAGACAAAGTTCTAGTTCCTCCTGGTTTAAATATGCTAGAACTTCTTAATGTGGACCAAGAACTAAGGTCTCTAAAACTTTCATAGATAAAGTTCTTGTTCCTCCTGGTTTTGTAATGCTAGAGGTTCTTAATGTGGAACATGAACTAAGGTTAGGCTCTGGAGCAGTTAGATTAACATGTCATAGACAAGTTCCAGATCCTCCTGGTTTGAATATGCTGAAATTTCTTAATGTGGACCATATAGAACTTAAATAACTGACAATAATAGTTTACCTATGTACAGATAGCACAAAAGGTGAGAGGCCTGGTAAGTTCACAGGGTGGCATCTAATTTAATACATGCCTTTGCAATTTCTAGTTCCTCCTAGTTTTTATATTAGGGAGCTACCGTTTGATTTTTATGGGGGGCTATGATGAAAAATTTTGTCCTGCATTTTTTTTAGTTGTAATCTTTGTCCTGCCTTTTTATTTTACACTCTATTCAGTCCTGCCTTTTTTTTTTAGTTTATCCTGGCTTTTTTTACATAAATTGTCATCCTGCCTTTTTTTTTTGCCCAGTTGCTCATCCTGCCTATTTTTTTACTCAAAACTCCTGTCCTGTCTTTTTTTTCAAATTTCATCCTAGCCCCCCCATAAAAATCAAATGGTAGCTCCCTTAGAGCTGTGAAACTTATGAATTTTTCTCAGATAAATTGTTGCTGCATTAATATTCTAGATGTAGATTTCATGGTTATCTGTGTGCCGCAAATTTAAGTGTTAAAAAAGTGCCAATTTTCCATGTATTTAATCTCATATATTGGTAACAAGATGATCTTGAAATAAAAAAAATCTCAGCATAGATTAAAACTGGTTGTTATATCTTTTATTAACGTATTTTTATGCGCCACCTATGGTCATTATGTTGTTTGGTCTATGTGTCCGTTCGTTCGTCCGTCCATCCATTCGTCCATCTGTCCCGTTCAGGTTAAAGTTTTTGGTCAACGAAGGTAGTTTTTAATGAAGTTGAAGTCCAATCAACTTGAAACTTAGTACACATGTTCCCTATGATATGATCTTTCTAATTGTAATGCCAAATAAGAGTTTTTACCCCAATTTCACGGTCCACTGAACATAGAAAATGATGGTGCGAGTTGGGTTTCCGTGTACTATGGACACATTCTTGTTTTTTCTATTTTAGCATATTCAAAGAGTATGTACAGAAAGCTGGACTAACAGAAAAGTTTACAGGAGAAGAACAGATTACAGTTTTTGCTCCTTCAAATGAAGCATTTAAAAAAATGAGTGATTATCAAAAGAAATTCTTCTTAGAATCTGAAAGAGGCATTAAAATGGTAATAATGATTTTTTACTGTACAGTAGTATTTGCTTCTGTGATTTCTACACCTGGGGCTATTTTCACAAAAACTCTTACGATAAAAAATGCTCGTAAGTTATACTGAAAAGCTCATGACTTACGAGTATTTTTTCTCGTAAGATTTTTTGTGAAATAAGTTTTTGAACCTTTTCGCTGGGTTTTATTTTTAACCCTTTTCTTACATATCTGGCTGATCTTCCTTAGAGATGACATTGACATGATGGAATATTTTCATGTTTTATTTAAATCACACAATTGACATGGAAATACCTTTCATGAAAATTATGCATATAAATTACAGTAAGAATTAGATTTTACGTCGCTCACATTAAATCTGCATTGGCATTTTTGTTTAATTTATATACTGAGTACCTACAGATATGCAACACCATTACATGTATTTTCCATTTTATGAAAGAATTCAAACCAACACATCTCCCTAGGAAATTTTTGTAAGGCTTCTTAGGGATACACATACACATCATTTCAGTCAATCTTCATAGACTTCTGATCTTGACTTTAAGGTGGTACATTACACTACAGGGAGATAACTCTTTAAAATCAGCAGAATATTTTAATCACTTTCTATTGTTAAGGAAATATTAAGCTTCTCAATGATCAAAATTAGTGTTTGTCAAACTACTATATATCCACTGAAATTTTTCCAATAAAGTGTGTGGTTCAAGTTTTTTGAAATTTTTATTTTTTTGTCAAAGGGTCAAAGTAAATATTTTGTCAAAGGTGTTTGGTACCACCTTAAGATACTCACAATTTCTGCCTTTTCGGTCAATGCTTTTTGATTGTCTACAGTATTGCATTTTTGGTAGATATTCCATAATGACAATTGATAATTTCATTTTCAGCTACTTGAAAGGCACATGGTAAATGGAATTGTAGTTTCTATAGGAATGTCAAAAGATGCCATTTTTACAATTCCATCTATCCAATCAGATAGTCTTAATTTGACCTTTGACTCAGACGAAACAACTCTACGTATCAACAAATTATCAGAAGGAGTAACTTTAGATATGTTAGCTACCAATGGCATATTGATTAAAATTGATCGAGTGCTTGTTTGTGAAAGTTGTAAACAGGTGGATATTAAAAAAGAGTAATTGTAAATTGTTTACTTGTAATTGCTTCAATTTGCTCTGACATTATAATTTCTGTTGTAAGGATTGAATTAATAATTCACTGGACCAAACACAGATAATGTAATTATTCAAATATAGGTACAATGCAGATGCTACATCTTTGTGTGTCCACACATAAATGTCCTTTCTCAAGAATAGTTAATGTGGAAGTAATTTGGTGAAGGGAAAAACATGATTGATTGTTGGCATTTATATCAATTTGATTGGTTGAGGAAGCCACTTAGCTAGAGAATCAGAGAAAGACCACAGACTTTCTGAAGGAAAAAAAATGTTGAGGTTAATGTCAAGACAACAAAGGTTATTATAAAATATCATGAGAACGGATATCTAGAGGTCGACATACAGTTTTTAACAATAAAGTACATGCCATAGGCACTTTATAGCTTGCTGTTTGGTGTGAGCCAAGGCTCCATGTTGAAGGCCGTGCTTTGACCTATAATTATTTACTTTTTACACATTGGGACTTGGATGGAGAGTTGTCTCATTGGCGCTCATACCACATCTTCTTATTTATACTTACCATTTATTTTAAGCACTAAATCATCCAGTTCGGAGTCAAAAAGTGGATTATTTTTTTTTTTTGGAGACTATCAAGGTTCTGTCATCAAACTATAACTCCCTATAAATGTCCACAGCCTTAATCTTGTTTAAGTGTACTCAACCCTACACCTTGTTGTATGAATCATTGTCCTAAGATGATGATGGATGGCTGTTTAACATCAAGCGGCAAATTAAATGCATATTCAGGACGAGAACATGTTATTAATGGAATATGAATATTTACCCTGCTTTGTACTAGACCAACACACTGAGCCAGATTTTTAACGGGCTAGTTCACAAGGTAAGAGTCCGCAGGAAAACATTTCACCCTACTCAGACACATTATTCTTACTCCCAGCCATCCACTTTTTGTGTGATTGAAGGAGAAGCAGCAAATACCAATTTATAAGTCTTTGGTTGGACCTGCTGGGTTGGAACCCACAACTGCTCTCACTCAAAGCAAACACACTACCACCAAGACTGTCATTGTCCTAAGAATAAGGTACACTAAAAACCTTTTTAAACTGTACATCTTTTTTTAATATGAATGAAAGCAAAGGTACTAGTTACTTAATTACAATATATAAAGAACGCAGCCAGTACCTGAAAGCATGCTCAAAGTATTTAATAGCTTATCTAGAAATCATGCTTTCTTATGTAATTTTTTGTACTTTAATATCAGCTGCTGTACTTCAAAGAAGATTTAGTTCCTTACACTTTCAAAACATACTGTTGAAGGATGGTATAAATGAGATGGGAGATACCAATGAAACTTTAAAAACTGACATTGTCAGAAAACAAAAACAAACAAAAGGGCAAACAAGATAAAAAAAAAACATGTCGGTTAGGAATGAGCAACACCAACCTGCCAAAAAAAATAGTGTGATTTCAGGTGTTCCTAAAGGGTAAGCAGATCCTACTTAACAGTACACACCATGGAAAGAATGTTTCATGTATGACCATTCACAGTTTTTGATTTCATTTTTATCCTGAGAAAAAGATTAATATAAAATTTTCTTACGATTGTAGGCTTATATATAAAGTTAATACCAAAAAAAGGTCAATAAGATGTAGACTGCCATACTCCCATAATGTACATACTTTTGAGTCTGACTCAGACTCTATCATGAGTATTGCAATATTTTGTAATTTTTTTGCTGTATAATTTCCTGCGGCAGCTATGTATAGATTTAATTTGATTAAACCCAGAAATTCTTTTGCCATTGTTTTTCTAAAATATCCCAATATTTTTCTTTGGACAAACATATAAACAGAGGCAAATGAAAATCCAGATTTAATCAAATTGTATATATATTTTGAGTTTTAACTGTTGGTTATGTCGCTTTGTTTATAGGTCATTATATATCCCTAATGTTACAAATGATTAGATTTTGTATACCACATGATGAAAGTGTTATGAAAGTGCAATAATATGTCAGAAATAAATACTTTTTTTACTTTTAATTGTGTTGATTCATTTACTGATAGAAATAAGAAGATGTTGTATGAGTGCCAATGAGACAACTCTCCATCCAAGTCACAATGTATAAAAAGTAAACCATTAAATGCATACCTGCCAACTTTTCAAAATCTCCATGGGTGATTTTAAGCGCAAGAGGACCTAATGCTACTCTTTTATTGTCATTAGTGTTTTAAATCTACTACTATATTGTTTGAATGAGTTTATATGTGCTTATAACTCATTTGAATGCCTGTTTTAAGGTGTTTAGTTAATATAATAAAGAATTTCAAAATTCATGTCAACACCTCTCATGGGGGAAATCCCCATAAATTGTGTGTATACGGCTGTTTAATGTACTTATTCCTGACACTCAGACTGATAAGAATTTAAATTGTATCTGTTAAATGAAATAATTCATATTTGTTTTTCGTATATTATATTGTTATATATTAGGCTGTTAGTTTTCTTGTTTGAAATGATTCACATTTTCCATCTCAGGACCTTTTATATCTCACTATAGGGTATAGATTTTTCTCATGTTGAAGTTAGTATGGTGACCTAAAATTGCTTTCCATTACATTATTTAAACTCTGGTGGCATTGGCAATCATACCACATTTCCTTATTTTTATAAGAACAACCCATAAAATTGACCTTTGAGAAATTTGGCTATTTTTTTACGGCCGTTTGGTCATATAGCTCTTTAAGTGTTGAGGTCTGATACATCCTTGGCTTTCAAATGACTTTTGGTTCTGAGAATTCCTGATGAAGGTAAATGATGAAAAGAGCTTTGGACACACGAAATTAAGAGTTATTTTCATTTATAGACAATAAACCTTGTGTGGTAATGAGGTTTAAATGGTATTGTAACACCTGGTGTATTCAGGCAGCAAGTAAACAAAAAGACAATAAATCATAGTGACATTTAATAAACAAAGTTGTCTAAAAACAACAACGATAACAATATACAACTGTAGATATAATTTCCTGTCTTATTAGCATATCAACTAAAATATAATAATAACCATTAGCATAATACAAGTGATTGTGGTGTGATAAAGTGACTGTAGGGCCATTTCAGGCTTGAATTCAGACAGGGGCATACAGCATGTGCCTCCCCTAAAAAAATAAAATAAAATGTAATTTATTTGTAAAATTACAGCCAAATTTTTTCAAAATATGATCATCTATCTCCTAATTCATTAAGCGCCTCCTAACATCAAATCCTGGATCCGAGTCTGCATTTTTTAAAATAATATAAACTGTTAAATGCGAAAGACAGATATTTAAAATAATGCTCCTCCCAAATAAAACCTTCTTATAGAAAATTTTCAGAGTCAATGTCAGAGGCATCCAGGCTTAAAAGTTCTATTTTAAATGGGCTTTTCCTAAAATAGATGGTTATATTCAATGGAATAATCTGAGAGGTAAGTTAGGCTTAAATGGAATAATCCTAGAGGTAAGATTTGTTTTAATATAATGTTCTAAGTAATTAATTATCTTTTAAATAAAATACTTGTTAAGACAAGTCATGGCTACATTGATGTTATCTTGATTATTTTAATTTGTTCTATCATATTAAAATGGAAAATGGACAATATAATAGCCCTCACATCAGAATAGATTTTCTGAGATAATTCAAATATTGACATATATGATGTCAACTTAATAATTAACATTTTCAGCAGTATATATTTTAACACTATTTTTCTTTTACATTTATTCTGAGGATAATGTAAATTCAGAAATTATTGCGTGCATTTATTACTGCAATTTTTGTAGAATTGACAAAAATGCAAGACTAATTATTGTGATTTCCGGAAAAACTGCATACTGATGTATGTATCAGATATCTGAATGTGAGTTCTAATTAATGCAAAACTCATCTAGTTGCATTATTCGCAATAATAAAAACCTCGCAATAATTTCTGAATTTACAGTAACCATACTTATTAACTTTGATCTTTCAGAGCATAATGCCGAAACAAATTTTTCAAAATGAAGACAAATTTCTAATTCAAGCATTATTAGTGACATTTCTTTCTAGTTTTTGGCATCCATTTTTATGATGCTATTTATAATGCCAATTAAAATTAATTCAATTATAAACCTAATACGGCCCTGAACAGTACCATTAAATACTTTAAGTGCCAATCTGCCTAAGAATCAGGTAGTGGTGAAAACATGACAAACAAAAACCCACTCAAGTTAACATTAATTTAAGTTCAAAATGTATAATGGTGCATGAATATAACATTCGTTTCCTTTTCCTATTCTGGTAAATTCAAAATATAATTTAGTAGAAATGCAATAGAAATTACCAATTCAGGGGAGCTAACTCCGTAATTTGCTATCATTCTAACCAAAAGTTATCTAGAGTTTCTTTAGTTACCAGACACGCAGAAACAAAACACCTACCATTTCTAACTCAGGATGAGGAAAACTTCGAAATAGGATGGTTAGGCCGGCAGGTTTTTTCAGCCACATTTTGAAATTCTTTTAAATTTCCTGATTCTTACTAAAACTGGCACTTAAAACATACAGAAAAATTTTCGTCTAAGAACATGCACACTACCAGAAAGGTTTTGATGCATCTAAATCATTGTCATATATTTGTTTTAAACTAATTCTCGCTTCTTCATCAATTTCTACACCCTGTTATCTCAATTCTCTTGAAAATAAATAATGAGTTATATTGTATGTTGTACTATACACATGAATAACAATGATTGATTAAACATAAACAAATGCCTATATCTGGAATGATCTGTGATAAAAAATGACACAATCTAATAAGCTCTAACATTTTAATTATCATACAGTGTGTAAGGTCTAACATTTTTACTAAAAATTTCAACATTTACTTAAAGTTACAATAAATAAACTTTTTTCTAGGATTTCTTATTCAAACTTGACATTTCTTTTACTCATTTTTACATAATTATGCAAACTGGAGATCCATTCATCAATCATAAAAATTTGTCAGCCAGTCAGAACTCAGAAATTAAGACCTTTAAAGTTTAGACTGTCAGCTAATCAGATCATTCATATTAAAATGATTCCAGCAAATCAGACCTATGTAGTTCAAATATGTCAGCAAGTTAGATCTAAATAATTCAAATATTTCAGAATTAAATTCACGAATTTTGGACACTCAGCAAATTGGTCCTGACAATTAGCTTGCAACTTGCAACTGTTCCCAAGATCAGCCATATTTATATTTGGAATCAATACTATACGATTATAGCCTTTGTATGAGGTCGATTCGAGGATATATAGACCTGAAAGAAGTATATGGACTAAGGAGGAAGTCCGAGGTCGATATCCTTCTTTAGGTCTATATATCCTTGTATATTTTTCTTAGTGGGCAACAATTTTCCTTGTGGTTTCAATTAATGGTCAAAAGAGGCCTCTTATGGTATGGACAATGTTTTCAAATCCGGCAAAAACTTCTATTTAATGAATTTTTTTCAGGAAATATACATAAATGATTTCAAAAGATAACTACTGTTTTTCCCTTTTATTGTCTTATTATGAAAGAAAAGGGTCCCTTATGATGATGTAAACATTAAATACAAGGACAGCCAACAAATATTTCTTTATAACACATGCATGGAATGTGGCAATTCTTTCCTGATATATCACAATATGTATTGAAAATATTTAAAGTGTATGGTTACACCTCTACTATTTCGAGACCAATACACAAACTGTATAGTCACAAACAATCTGTCTACACAATGATCACAGTTAACTAGCAATAATAAAAACATAACTCTATACTGCCCTTCTTTAATACACAATATCACATCACTGAATAATACTTTGATTATTAAGTACACTGTTGAGCTATTTGTAGAGGAAAAAGAACACATAATTTGAGAACAAAAGTTTCTAATATTACAGATATTAAATTTCATTTTAAAGTCAATTTATATGAATAATTTTTAAAAATTATATTCATCGGAGATACACCAAATTTCCCACATCAAATAGGGAACTTCCCTATTTGATGTGGGAAATTTGGGTGTTTCTCGGGCCCCGGATGCAAAGATAAAATAAGAAAAATATTTAATTTGATTTGATTTATATAAAATTTTTATTCTGCTATACTTAATGATTTTAATAATCCCAGTTTTCAATATACAATAAAATAATTCCATATTTTATGCACGAAAATAGCAAAAAAAAAAAATCAGAAATAAAATTTGCCATGCGACTTGTAAAAACATATTGGGCACACCTTGCGATCAGAAATTTAAACTGTGTCTAAATTAGCATGGCACAATTGGATTTTAAAAAATATCATCGTAATTAATCTTACATACAGCACAAAAACAACATATACATGTATATCACTGGTATTATGTTGTCAAATTTTAAAACTCATCTCAGTGAATGAGAAACCTTTATTCTGACATTACAAATAATAAACTCTCCATCTTTGCCCTCAAGACAAGTGGAGTTATCTCCCTATCTTGCCCTCAAGACAACTGGAGTTATCTCCCCTTGGTTGTCAGATGACAAATGCCTGTGTTATGCATACACTAGGGTAAATTTAATACTTACAACACAGATTTATATACTACAAACTCTATACATTGCATATTTGGATCCTGGTGACTTTCAGTGTGATATCATTTGCATATTAAAATGAAAAATGATTTTCTAAGCTAAAAAATTGACTTCTTTAAAAAAACATTATTTATATATTTTCAAAGTATGATCAAATGGAACTTTTCATAAAAAAAAAATTGATCAGGTTATTTACTTTCTTTTGTTTAAATTGAGCAATTATTTTTGTTTTTTTTTATACGAGAAAATGTTTAAAAAATAAATCCACAGATATAATATAGCCAATACCATGAATTCAAACTGATATCAAAGCACTACAATAATAAAATTGTAATTTGATATATTTCTTCTTCATAGGTATATCATATATAATGTAATTGGTGCACATATATATATATGTAATAAGTGTGTGCTATTATGCATTGTAATAATCCATATATCATATTATAAAATTACATTCAAATTTGATAATTGCCTCCTCAAAACAACTGTCACTTTACAATTTTTAATTGCCCTTTCAAATAACTCCCCTTTTTACACATTGATTTTTTTCAGGGAATTTTTAAGCATCAGCTAATTAAGCAAAACAAATCACATTAAGTATTTGTGTAAAAGTTGTATGTGCTTAATGTGCTCATATATCCCGATGAAAATCTTTTAAAGATTTTAAGCAGATTCTTAAATTTGCAGATCTATACACAAGAAAGCACTTAAATATGACTAGAAAAATAGAAATAAAAACATCAGATCATTTTTTTCAATATCAGCTATCTATGTCATTTAAAGTTTCTAAATTCAGACCTCATTAAAATATTTATTTTTTTCTTTCTTTTCATATTTAGATGAACTGTCAATTTTTTCATCGTCAAATTTCTTATACATTTTCATACTACAAATTTAAGGATGATCTTTAACCATTTTTATCCCTAATTGCATTATAAAAAAATATTCCACTACCATTTTCTTTCTGATTGAATCCATTTTTTCATTAATCATGTACAAATTCCCCAATTATTAACGCAAACCCTATATCTAAAATATCTCAACTTCAAGCAGATTGTATGTAAAGGGTTCTCACCCTTTTCAAAACCCAAAAAATCAAAGATTCAAACTTTTGACAGTTTTGAAGGTTGAGAGGGAACCCTGTGTGTGTTGTAAACATTTTGAAACAACAACCCATTTAACAGAAGAACCCAATTTAGAGAGAGTTGACATTAAACAAACTTCATCATACTAGATTGTCTATAAACAATATCAAATATTTTTGTTTAAAAATCAACAATTGTCATGCTATAAATATGTCATATATCTTGACAACACAGATGTGATTCAATTCAGTTTTTTATAATATTAACCTTTTCAAAAGGTCACTGAATAATTAGAACATTCAAGTACAAATTATAAAAAAAAAAAAAACACATAGCACTAAATTTGCATAACTACGATATAATGCACAATTTTTTTTAACCCTGATGACAACTGCAGTGGATATTCCTACATAAAGTTGATGCTTCTGTCCTTGACCTCACTGAGGTCATCATAACACTAGCATATAAACTTTTCCTTGGAATTAAAAGATTATTTCCCTTCCGTATACTTGGTCCTGGCTTAACCAAGGTCAGTATAAAACTATTACAGTTGATCCCGACCTCATACAACAGATTCTTCCACTGGTGAAGGTCAGTATAAAACTATTACAGTTGATCCTGATCTCATACAACAGATTCTTCCAAAAGGTCAGTATAAAACTATTACAGTTGATCCCGACCTCATACAACAGATTCTTCCCCATCTTCATCAAAATCATAATCATAATAATCACCGTCATCATAACTATCATATCCACTGTAGTGTTGTTGATTCGGAGAGACGGAGGTAAATCGGACCTTTTTTAAAATCTGAAATGTAGATCATAATTTTTACAGAACATTGTTCATCAAAACATTGCAGTAATTTATAACTTACACAAATGAAATTATATAGATTGATGGCTGCTTAACCTTTAGCTGTAAATGCTACATGCATTTTTAGGAATATGATTTAAGATAATAGATTCTTTGAACAAGAATGACTTGTCATGTAAAATTTCCTCGCTGCGTTAAAGACCCATTGGTGGCCTTCGGCTGTTGTCTACTCTTTGGTCGGGTTGTTATCTCTTTGACATATTTCCCATTTCCATTCTCAATTATTTTTTTGCAGAGAAATACAGAAACTATTGCAAGGTTTTTTATTGATGCGAATAATGCAACTGGACGAGTATCAAAATAAAAAGAATTTGCATTATGACATCTAATACATATATCTTTATGCAGATTGAGCAGAAATCGAAATAATTAGTCTCACATTTTTGTTCATTTTTCAAAAATCAAAATAACAAATGCATGCAATAATTTCTGAATTTATAGTAGTGAATGTCAATTTTAAAGCCTTGTTTTATACAGTTAAAATGGTTAAGGACTGAACCTAGGACCCTCTTGATTTAAGATGAACATCTTAACATGAGGACTGTTTCGTTTTATCCAATAAACTGCTTCGCTGAGTGCAGCTGGATACGCCCGCAGAGGTCCAACCCTGAACAGTTTGGGCAAAAATGGTCACAATATTCAAGCTTGATACAGGTCTGAATTTGGATTGTAATTAAATATTTGACATTATTATAGGTTTCTGAATAAATGTAGTCAAAGAACTTGAAATTGGTTATATGAATTGAATTTATATTCAATTAAAGATTTCTTGCTGTTGTACAATACACTGTGCTGTTGCACTATACTAAGTAAATCTGTTGTCAGACTATAAACAAATAAAGGGCGGTTATCTTAATAGATATAAACCAGGCACGAAAGTTTAATGAAAACTGCTCAAAGCACTTTAAAGGTATTGTCAAAAAACTGGAAAATCCCCCTTTTTTTAATGAATAATACCCCATAACTCAGAAACATAGTATCTAAAATTTATAACAAGAGTGCACACGCTGAAATGTCTCGCCTTCTTTACTAATCATTGATATTATGTTGATTGTCCTAAATATAAAGCTTTATTACAACTGTCACATAAACTTAACATTAACCAAGTAAACTAAACATTGACCAATGAACCATGAAAATGAGGTCAAGGTCAGATGAACCATGCTAGGCAGGCATGTACAGCTAAAAATTCTTCCATACAACAAATATAGTTGACCTATTGCTTATAGTTTAAGAAAAACAGACCAAAACACAAAAACTTAACACTGAGCAATGAACCTTGAAAAATGAGGTCAAGGTCAAATAAAACCTGCGTGACTGCCAAATAAATCATAAAATATTTCCATACACCAAATATAGTTGAACTATTGCATATATAGTATTAGAAAAAAAGACCAAAACTCAAAAAACTTAACTTTGACCACTGAACCATGAAAATGAGGTCAAGGTCAGATGACACCTGCCCGCTAGACATGTACACCTTACAATCATTCCATACACCAAATAAAGTAGACCTCTGGCATACAGTATAGGAAAAACAGACCAAAACACAACAAGAGTGCACACGCTGAAATGTCTCGCCTTCTTTACTAATCATTGATATTATTTTGATTGTCCTAAATATAAAGCTTTATTACAACTGTCACATAAACTTAACATTAACCAAGTAAACTAAACATTGACCAATGAACCATGAAAATGAGGTCAAGGTCAGATGAACCATGCTAGGCAGGCATGTACAGCTAAAAATTCTTCCATACAACAAATATAGTTGACCTATTGCTTATAGTTTAAGAAAAACAGACCAAAACACAAAAACTTAACACTGAGCAATGAACCTTGAAAAATGAGGTAAAGGTCAAATAAAACCTGCGTGACTGCCAAATAAATCATAAAATATTTCCATACACCAAATATAGTTGAACTATTGCATATATAGTATTAGAAAAAAAGACCAAAACTCAAAAAACTTAACTTTGACCACTGAACCATGAAAATGAGGTCAAGGACAGATGACACCTTCCCGCTAGACATGTACACCTTACAATCATTCCATACACCAAATAAAGTAGACCTATGGCATACAGTATAGGAAAAACAGAACAAAACACAAAAACTTAACTATAACCACTGAACCATGAAAATGAGGTCAAGGTCAGATGACACCTGCCAGTTTGACATGTACACCTTACAGTCCTTCCATACACCGAATATACTAGACCTATTGCTTATAGTATCTGAGATATGGACTTGACCACCAAAACTTAACCTTGTTCACTGATCCATGAAATGAGGTCGAGGTCAAGTGAAAACTGTCTGACGGGCATGAGGACCTTGCAAGGTACGCACATACCAAATATAGTTGAACTATTGCATATAGTATTAGAAAAAAAGACCAAAACTCAAAAACTTAACTTTGACCACTGAACCATGAAAATGAGGTCAAGGTCAGATGACACCTGCCCGCTAGACATGTACACCTTACAATCATTCCATACACCAAATATATTAGACCTATGGCATACAGTATAAGAAAAACAGACCAAAACGCAAAAACTTAACTATAACCACTGAACCATGAAAATGAGGTCAAGGTCAGATGACACCTGCCAGTTGGACATGTACACCTTACAGTCCTTCCATACACCGAATATACTAGACCTATTGCTTATAGTATCTGAGATATGGACTTGACCACCAAAACTTAACCTTGTTCACTGATCCATGAAATGAGGTCGAGGTCAAGTGAAAACTGTCTGACGGGCATGAGGACCTTGCAAGGTACGCACATACCAAATATAGTTATCCTATTACTTATAATAAGAGAGAATCTAACATTACAAAAAATCTCAACTTTTTTTTCAAGTAGTCACTGAACCATGAAAATGAGGTCAAGGACATTGGACATGTGACTAACGGAAACTTCGTATCATGAGGCATCCATATACAAAGTATGAAGTATCCAGACCTTCCACCTTCTAAAATATAAAGCTTTTAAGAAGTTAGCTAACGCCGCCGCCGCCGCCGTAGCCGCCGCCGCCGCCGCCGCCGGATCGCTATCCCTATGTCGAGCTTTCTGCGACAAAAGTCGCAGGCTCGACAAAAACTTAACTATAACCACTGAACCATGAAAATGAGGTCAAGGTCAGATGACACCTGCCAGTTGGACATGTACACCTTACAGTCCTTCCATACACCGAATATACTAGACCTATTGCTTATAGTATCTGAGATATGGACTTGACCACCAAAACTTAACCTTGTTCACTGATCCATGAAATGAGGTCGAGGTCAAGTGAAAACTGTCTGACGGGCATGAGGACCTTGCAAGGTACGCACATACCAAATATAGTTGAACTATTGCATATAGTATTAGAAAAAAAGACCAAAACTCAAAAACTCAACTTTGACCACTGAACCTTGAAAATGAGGTCAAGGTCAGATGACACCTGCCCGCTAAACATGTACACCTTACAATCATTCCATACACCAAATATAGTAGACCTATGGCATACAGTATAAGAAAAACAGACCAAAACGCAAAAACTTAACTATAACCACTGAACCATGAAAATGAGGTCAAGGTCAGATGACACCTGCCAGTTGGACATGTACACCTTACAGTCCTTCCATACACCGAATATACTAGACCTATTGCTTATAGTATCTGAGATATGGACTTGACCACCAAAACTTAACCTTGTTCACTGATCCATGAAATGAGGTCGAGGTCAAGTGAAAACTGTCTGACGGGCATGAGGACCTTGCAAGGTACGCACATACCAAATATAGTTATCCTATTACTTATAATAAGAGAGAATCTAACATTACAAAAAATCTTAACTTTTTTTTCAAGTAGTCACTGAACCATGAAAATGAGGTCAAGGACATTGGACATGTGACTGACGGAAACTTCGTATCATGAGGCATCCATATACAAAGTATGAAGTATCCAGACCTTGCACCTTCTAAAATATAAAGCTTTTAAGAAGTTAGTTAACGCCGCCGCCGCCGGATCACTATCCCTATGTCGAGCTTTCTGCGACAAAAGTCGCAGGCTCGACAAAAATCAAAAGGCAGCTTACATCAATAGATATAAACAATTCACAAAAGTTTCATGAGAACTGCTGAAAGCATTTTATAGTTATTGTCCGAAAACTGGAAAATCCCCCTTTTTTTAATGAATAAAACCCCATAACTCGGAAACGTAACATCTAAAATTTATAAAAATCAAAAGGGAGCTTACATCAATAGATATAAACAATTAACCAAGGGTTCATGAGAACTGCTGAAAGCATTTTTAAGTTATTGTCCGAAAACTGGAAAATCGCCCTTTTTTTACTGAATAAACCTCATAACTCGAAAACATAAATCTAAAATTTATAAAAATCGAAAGGGAGCTTATGTCAATAGATAAAAACAATTGACCAAAGTTTCTTGCAAATTGGAGAAAGAATTTTTTACTTATTGTCCGAAAACTGGAAACCCCCTTTTTATAATGAATAAAACCCCATTTCTCTGAAACGTAAAATCTAAAATTTATGAAAAAAGAAAGGGAGCTTTTGTCAATAGATATATACAATTCACCAAAGTTTTATGCAAATTGGGTAAAGCGCTTTTAAGTTAATGTCCTACATGTTGACGACGGACGGACGGACTGACAGACGGACGGACAGACTGATCACTATAGGGCGTCCGCCATTCGGCGGGGCCCTAATAACATACAGCAATTGACAAACTAAAAAATAAAAAGTGTTCTAGCTATGATAAATAGACAACAAATAACATATCCTTCTCCAGATTAGCTTTATAACTGTCACGACAGTTCCACATGTGGAGCAGGATTTGCTTACAATTCAGGAGCACCTGAGATCACTTCCAGTTTTTGTGGGGTTCATGTTGCTCATTCTATAGGTTTTCTATATAGTGTTTTG